CTGGAAAGCCAGACCCCTAGACTTGGGGACCAGCAGACCCTTCGCAGATCATACCACGCTGTTCTCCTGCCTCTTGTCTGCTCTTCCCAGCCTCCCAACCCGTAGATTTGCCCCCTTAGAGAAAACGTCAAGGAAGGAGTTTCCCTGCTTTTGCTGGGTCAGCCTTGTCCATCAGGTAACTGTGGTTTTGAGTAGCAGGCATGGGATATCATGTTTCTGCCTTTCAGGGTCCCTAATCCGAGTCGTCCCAGCCTGCCTCCCTCACAGATACGCTACTCACTGGCTGGACACCGTCACAGCCTAGGGGAAGGAGAGGGATGTGGTGGCCCACGATCAGGGGCTAGGGCAGGCAGCAGCTGAGGGTCCCCAGCAGGTAGACCCTCTCCGGCCACATGTAAACCCTGCAACTGAACTACATGTATGAAACTCTGTTAAAGCCACCAGAAGCTGCGTGTTCACTTTAAAAAAATAGGTAAAAGGTGTTTCACAATTCCAGGCACTGCAGGAAAAGGAAATATGGTTTGTGTGAGTTCTGGGACGTGGGAGAGCAGACAGACGACTTTGGGTAGTAGAACAGCAGGGGCTGGAGCAGAGTCTGACTTGGAGGAGTGCTAAGACTGAGCTGGAACTATAAGCAAGGAGTGGGACAGTGGCCAAGATGGCTTTGGTGAACCTCGTTAAGGACTCTGCATTTGATCCTGAGGGTAGTTGGGAGCTCCTGAAGATCTTTTTTGGGAAGATCGGGGAAAGAGGGGGTTGGCATGATGAAAGTCACCTTCTGTCCAACTCATTGTGTGCAGAGTGAGGCCAATGGATTAGAGGCCACCAGATCACCGGATAAAAGCCAGCAAGAGCTCCTGCATTATCCAGCTGTGGCCACCTGAGCTCGGCCTGTGTGAGACCAGAGTTGCTGGGGTAGAGATTTATGTGTGAGATTCATATGACCATGTTGGGAGCAACTCTCATCACTCAGAGGCATCCTACCCTGTTTGCGCCAAGCACTAGGGGTGAGGCTGGGGCTCTGGTCACACGAGGCGGTCCTCACAGGCAACCTCATTGCAGTGTTTCTGAATACCCTGTGGGAGGAAGCGGGGATGGAGTGTCTGCTGAGCCATGGGGGGCCCTCACTGGAGTGGCGGTGAGCAGGCGAACACCAGGCTGGCATGAGTCCTAGGTCATCTTTTTGTAGCTACCAGTTAAAATCCATCCTCTAGACTTTTGAACAGTAACCCCATGTGCCAGGCAGCAGGATGGGTAGAGGCGAATTCTATTAGGGTGTCACCGCCTCTCCCACCCCGATCCCCTGAAGAGAGGTTGCAAGTGTCATGGCAGGATTTTCCCATGATTCTCCTTGACAGAGAGCTGCCTGTGAATTTCTTTTCTGGGTTCCTTGCTTGGTTCTCTCCTCTTCTCAATCCATATTCATTTTCTTGGTGATCTCACCAAGTGCCAGAGTTTTAAACACCGAGCCCCATGCCGACAGCTCCTATACGTGTCTATGGACTGGACCTCTTGAACTTTGGCCTGTTCCAAATCTCCTCTAGGGTGTTCACAGGCATCTCAGGCTTAAAGTGTCCAGAACCAAACTCTGCACCATCCTCCATCTGCTTCTCCTTCACTCTTTTTAGAAAGTAAATCTATCCTTTTAATTGCTTAGGCCCCAAATCTGGAAGTCACTCTTGATGCCTTCCTCAAACCCCAGCATCCGATCCATTATCCAGTCTTGCTGGCTTGATGGCCATTGCCCACGCTCGGCTGGAACCAGCTTGCTCCAAGCACACTGTCTTGTCCCATCTAGATTTTGGCCTCTTAATTGGTATCCTCACTTCCTCTCTTGCCCTTGCTGTAGTCTGTTCTCCATCCAGCAGCCAGAATGATCATTTCAATAATCAAGTCATGTCAGGCTTCTGCACCAAATTTCCCCCTGGCTTTCCATCTCACTTGAAGGAAATAGCCAAAATTCTAGCAGTTGTCTGCAGACCGTATGTGATCTAGCTCATGGGTACCTCTGGCCCATCCCTTCCATTGTTCTCTGCTCCAGCCACACTGGCCTCCTTGCTGTTCCTCAAACACACCGAGCAGTCCCCACCTCAGGATCTTTGCACTTGCTGTTCCTGCTACCTGAGATATCTTTGTTCAGCTATTCCCATGGTTCAGTCCCTTACTTTTGTCAGGTCACTGCTCAAATGTCACCTTTTCAGAGAGGAGTACCCTGACCACCTCCTTACCTGGATTTGTTATCCGTGGCACTTACCCCTCTCTGTTTACCCATGACAGACTAGATCATGCTGTGGTAACAGATCCTAAGGTCAAGTAGCTTGTAACATAAAGGGCTATCCAGGGGTCTGCTGGAGCCAGCCTTTACTGGCTTGAGAGAAATGTTATGCTTTCAGGAAATCTATGAGCCAGTTGTTATTAAAAGTTAAATTCCATAAACCTACAAGCAACAAAATTGTGTTTATTTATTTTTTTAAAGATTTTATTTATTTATTTGACAGAGAGAGACACAGTGAGAGAGGGAACACAAGCTGGGGGAGTGGGCGAGGGAGAAGCAGGCTTCCTGCCGAACCAGGAGCCTGATGCGGGACTCGATCCCAGGACCCCGGGACCATGACCCGAGCCGAGGGCAGACGCTCAACCGACTGAGCCACCCAGGCGCCCCAATTGTGTTTAAAGTGAAAGCAATAAATACCCAAAATGTATCATTTCTCAATTATTTTACTACATTTTACTGTTATGATGTATATCGATAGCTTATTGTTATTATTGCTCCATATGGCTATTTTCTCTGAGCTTGAGGATCTTTATGTCTCTTTTATCCTTACAGGGGAAATATGCTATATGATGATGTGCATCTCTCCCTAAGCCCTTGGTCAGCGAGGACATGCTGAAATCAACCATGCGGGGAATATTTATACACCCCTGAAAGCAGCCAATGCCAATAAGTTGTTGTTGGTTTGTCTGTTTGTTTTGGTGTTTGTCTAGACTTGTGAGTGATGCGGAAATATTTATGATGTAGATTAAGCTTACAAGTGTGCCCTGTGTGCAGCCGTCCCACTGTGGCTAGCACAAAACATTGAGGCCAGTTCTTGTATTGGAAACTCACACCCAAGTCAGCGGAGGGTACTCACACCACCCACGAGCGAGTGAAGGTCCAACACACGGATCTCTGGTGCTCCACTTCCATCTGACCTGTTGGCACCCACGAATGTATCAACCGATGTTCTTGTCGGAACTCTACTCACTCATTAATTGTAACCACAGGTTGATTCTAGACAAGAGTGCAGCAAAAATGTACCAAAGCATTCTGTATCATAGGGATACATGGAATTTCAATACAGAGTATGGTATATCGTTTGTAAACTGCATTCTTTGTCTCAATAAAGTTTATAATAAACACACACATTGTATGTATATGCATCCCCTCGTCTTCCGCCCTTGGAAGGTCAGTTATTAAACATTCACCAGAGATCGCCACTGGGGTCATCCCTCTCGCATGCTCCACGTCCATCATGGGCCATCTGTGCACACCCCTCACTCTGGGCCCAGGTGGTGGCCTTTCCACCGCCTGCAGCTTTGCTGGTTGCTGTGGTGAGGGAAGAGGGCCACCAAGGCTCTGCTGAGAAGTGACACACACTGCCCTGCTCATATTCCATTGACACAGCCACGCCTACTTTATGTGACCAGAGAAGTACAAACCCATCATGTGCCTGGAAGGAGGGAAGGGAGAACTGGAATACTGGTTAGTAGCCCAGCTGACACTACAACAGACTAGGAACTCACGTGCTTCTTGTCTGCTGCACCCCACACATAAACTAACGTCCACGGCTGTATCCTGAGCAGCTCGGAGGCACTCTGTGAATACTTACTGAGCGAACCTCTGAGGAGGCTAGCCTGAAGGAGGAAGGCTCTGAAAGTGAGCCCACATGTGTCATTAGAGAGGGTCATCATTTCAGGATGTTTAAGTTTTTGTTGATGGCTCCTTACCTTGCCATATGCAGCTGGACGTTGGTGGCCCAGGAAATCACATAGATACATGTGGCTCTGGGTCCTTAAAACAGGCTCTAGGGCCAATGAAGGGCCAACTCCTGGGAATGGATGCAGACACCACTCCAGAGGGAGGCACCGCCCCAAGCTGGGGCTGGAGAGGGGCATGTAGGACACAAAAGGAGGAGGTGCCTCAGACGCGTGCAGGTGCAGGACTGGCCCTGAGACAGGGCCTCCTTACATCTTGCTCCCTAGCAGTCTCACTCACCTGCCTCACCCTAGTGCTGGACCTGCTCTGCTCCAGGGACTTCCAATTCCACAGTTTAATAGGTAATTTCAACTCTCGGCTCTTCCCAACACAGCTGGACAGCAGCGCATGCAAGAGAATTCCGAGTTGGGTGAAGTTTTCTTCACTCTGCCTAGCTCAGAGACTTTAACTCCAAAGGCTGAGCAGTACGGCAAAGAAAGGAGAGACATCATTATTCTGGAATAAGCCTCATGCGCCTACCTCCATGTTGAAACCTTGGAGCTCAAGTTTAGATTGTTATTCCAATTGGCTTTGATGCTTTCACACCCCTGGGGTGACACCAGCATTACCATTTGTTGAGCACCTACTGTGTGCAAGACAGTCCTATACTCTGCTTTCATATACATTGCTTCCTTCATTAGCCAGTGCCTTAGCTCTATGAGCTTGGTATCTCCTGTTTGTCAAAAGAGGAAACTGAGTCTTAGGGAGATTAAGGAACTCTTCCCGAGTGAACAAGGAAGTGGCAGAACCAGGATTTGAATGAAATCTTTCTGAATCTGATGGTTGGCCATTCTAAAATGAAGATTCCTCTATCAACCTGAGGGGGGAACACTGGAAAACCATCCTTCAGGCAACGTGAACTCAAGACACTGGGTTTAACTGACCTTGTTCACAAGGTCAAAACAGAACCATTGGCGTTTCCACATATGATTCACGTGGCAGACTTGCACCGAGTCGAAATAAATCCCAGTTTGACCATAATGGCTCTTTTTTCTTTCAATTTTTATTGAACACAAGTATTCTGACAGAATGCAAAGTCAAAATTCTCAGTTAGTACTCAGTATTTACACCAGTGAGAATGGAAACAAAGGTGGTATCGATGTTTCACTCGGTAAAAAGTTTATAACAAGAGAGAAGGCCCCCGAAGTACGGAATGCTGGGTAGGGATGTTCATGGAGGTCTGAAAACCACCATCCAGACAGACAGCCTCGAGTGACAGCCTGGGACGCAGAAGGGCTCCATAGAAAAGTGTGAAAACAGTCCCACTTCAGAAGCTGCAGTACGTACACCACGGCCCCCCAGGACTCAGAGCCCCCCAGCACGGCCCCAGGAGTGCCCCCTCCCGCAGAACGTGGCCCTGCCGCTAGTTATGTGAATACATATGTATGGCACATACACATTGGAAACTGGTAGAGTTGATCCCGCCTTCAAAAAATTAAAAAAGGAAAACTATAAGCTTTTATCTCTTAACATAAAAGATAGAACATCTTGAAAATAAAGTGACTCTCTCTTTGATTTTAGAGAAAGCATTGCTCTGGTGGTTTTTGTTTGTTTGTTTTATTTTGTTTTGTTTTTGCTTTTTTTTTAATTAAAAAAAATTTTTTTTTTTTTTTTTTTTAAAGAAAGGAAAGCTCATGCGTGCAGAGACAAATCTATGTATAATGAGAGAGAGGCAGACCAAAAGGTGGGCAGAGTCTTGGGTGCCAATTAATGGCGGAGCCAGGGTTCTGGGTGGGTGGGGGGGCGTCAGCTGCCCCGGGCCAGGTTACTTGAGGGTCGGCTATTCCTCTTTCTCTTCTGAACCATCAGAACCCAAGTTGTCGTGCCTGGCCACAACCACTTGGCATGCGATGCACAGTCTCGATGAGGGAGAGCGTGGGCTTGGCTTAGGTAGCCAGTGCCATCAACATCAGAAGATGAGCAACTGCTTTCACGGACAGCCCAGCAGTGGGATGGGCCTGCCGGGTCCCCCTGTCTCAGACACCCAGGAGCTCCCATTCTGCTGTGTGCTCAAAGAACTGTCTGCATGTTCCTCGTGCCTGAGGGGCTGTGAATCTGAACCAGACATTTGTGCAAAGACCCCAGAATCAAAGGGGTCAGAGCTGGGTACACTGGATCCTCCATTTCCATCCCCAGGAGCTGAGAAAATGCAAAATGACCCCACATTTAGCAAATGACAAGACCATTATTTTTCACAGTTTGAAATTATAATCTTAGCGTGTCGCCACTGATCAGACTGCAGAAGCGTCAGAACGTGGGGGAGTGTGGCCCGCGGAACGGACTCGGGGGCAGTCTCGCCACCCTAACCTCTTGCTGTTTTGTACCTTGGGAAAGGAACGCATGCCGGAGGGCTGACTTTCTGTTTCCTTAGCCTTATCGTCGTCGTCATCATCATCATCACTTTTATTTCGTTTTCTTTGTTTAAAGGCTTCAATTCCTTTTAAGAGTTATGTTTGTTTCCTGAATATTTTTTTTTCTGAACTAGCTGCTATACCTTCCACAACCAAACTATGTTGAAGTTTTATTTCAATACTATGACAAAAACACGTTTCACACTAAAATATTCACGCATCCACAGTGCACAAGCTTGCAGTTTCTAAAGTAGAATGAGAAAAAAAAGCAAAATTTCTATACAAAGGGCTGGCTTTTCCCTTCTCCCCCCTCCCATCCCCCTTAAAGTTTCTGTATTTCCCCCCCCACTTGGTTTCCAATCCAGGAAAGTTGTGTTTATGACTCCAGACAGCAGGTTGGTTTTTTTTTTCTCTTTTGTTTCTATAAATGCTGCCTAAGTGAACAGAAGGCCGATGTTACTTTACTTCAACAGATTTCCAAAAAAAGACACTAATTCCCTGAAGCACAAGTGCTCTTCCGCTCAAATCTAGATTCTGGGCTCAAAAAGAAATTGTATGTATATATTTTATTTGGCTTTCTACAAAAAGGGGATGTTTGGGGTAAAAATGTGTGTTCACCAAGACCAGCCCCAACTATACAATCTTCTCTGCTTCATTCAACAAAGCCTAAGGAGTCCTTCAAAACGAAGGCTGTGGACGCCTGCGGGGCGGGGGCAGATCCTTTTTCACAGATACAGGCAGGTGGTGGCTAATCAGAAAGTGGTCTAACCCCCAAGGAAATACAAAAAGAACTGAGAACAAAAAAAAAAAAAAAAAAAAAAGCAAAACCACTCCAGAACGAGATGGATTTTCACCTGAGTTGCACACAGGCAAAAATTTCCAATCAGAAAGAGGGTGGGGTGGGGGTGGGGAGAGCCACTGTAAACAATCATATTTTGTAAAGTTGGCGTGTGCGAAAGCAAGCCTGTGACGACCCTACCCGCCTCTAGGCAGTATTTGTAACTCCAAAAAAAAAAAAAAAAGAAAAAGGCAGCTATTTTACATGGACATTTAAACACAACCAAAGTCAAACATTTGTCAACTTGTAAACATTGGAAAACAAAGTTGGCAGAAAGGAGGAAAAAAAAAAAAGAATGAGAAAGAAAAGGAGAGAAAAAGAAATCAGAATATTGCAAACTGAGATCTACCCCCAGAAGCTGCAATTTGGCATTCTTCCTACAAAACAAGAGTCTACGTGGGAATTGAATTCAGCTAGCAAGGGGGACACACTTTGCATACTTAACAAATACAAAGTGAACAGAAATTATAACTTATTTATGGGGCTTTACAGAGTTCAAACTCGACTCAAAGTATAAAAATAAACTTGGACTTTGTTCATTCGTTAGTCTTAGTGCCTGGAAGTATTTCTCTGAAACTGGTCTGTGCCAATTGGGCAACACCAAGTGCGGGCTTCCTGAACCTAGATTTTTTTTTTTTTTTTTTTCTGAGCTTCCTAGATTCTTAATTTGGGGTCCTTTTGTTTGATTCTTTAAATGGTTTCAGGGAACAGAGTGTCCTAGTTTGGCTGTGGGTTTAACCTTTTTGTCTCATTTTCTTACAAGTGAGTGCGCGTAGCGAAGGAACCCTTTCTATAAACCTACAAAAAGGAGATCCCATGTTTATCTGTTTAGTTTTTTTTTTTTAAAGGCAAAAGACACTAGAGGAATGAGATGTGTGTGTGCGTGTGTGAGATATTGGGAATGCTCTGGTGAAGCTGTGGTGTCACTTTTTACTTTGATCTGCTCGTTTCTTGTCACCCATCATGCTTTGCTCTCGTTCTCCTTTGTTTGTGTGGCGTCGTTGGGGACCGTCTTGACTTCGGCTGGCGCTGACTTCGTTTCTGTCTCCTGGCACTCCGACTTTGCTTCTACTGGGCCCTTCCTGCAGAGAATTGGGAAAACAGCACTGAGACCACGATCGCAGTAACTCACCCTTCCACTGGGGCTCCAGCTCAGAGCAATGGTCTCCACCCTTGGCTGCATGCTGGAATCACCTGGGGGCTCTAAAAATCACCGATTCCTGGGCCAGCGCCCCAGGAATCCTGATTTAATTGGTCAGGGCACGATGACTTTTAAAAGCACCCGAGTGACTCTAAAACGGAGCCAAAGTGGAGAGCTGCTGAATCAGAGGAACGAGACCTTCCCCGTTCCGGCCCTCACCCACTGCCGGGGGCCCAGGGGTCCAGTCCTTCCCTGGGCCAGCGGAAGGGGGCAGCAGAGGCGGCCTTCTCCTCACCCCGACCAACCACCCACCCACTGCAGAAGCACCCGCTCAGCTTGGTATAAACGATGATGCTGTGCTGGGTTCCCCAGTACCCACTCCAGGGGTCCGTCTGCGAACCGCCTTGCTCTTGCCTGTCCTCACTCCCAGCACACCCTGCGCTCCGTGTTTAGGGTGGGAAAACGCTCTTTGCTACTGAGGCAGTGTTCCACAGCATGAGAGGCTAGGGAGGGCTGTCACGCTACAGGTGGGGACGGGGTGGGGGGGAGTCAGGGGGCTGCTGAGTGGGCAGGACTAGCGGGGTCCTACTTCTTCAGATTCAGGGCTCCCGGGGAGGGTCCCATTTCGGCTGAGGGCAGCACGACCACTCATCTGGGGGACAGGAGCCTCTATAAAAACCTAGGTCTGACTCTGCCTTATTCAGTCCCAGGAGTGAAAGTCTGGTCTAAGGACACACTGGGGCAAGTAGCCTCAGACCCCGGCTCCAGCTGCATTTTGGCATCATGGTTAAGACATCTTTAAGCTTAAGGACCTTCCCTTGAACTTGGAGACCCAGCAGTCATTCGGTGCCTGTGAGCTCTGAGTCTTCCCAGACATTCCCAGGAGAAGCAAGAGTAGCTGGTGGTCGGGGGGGGTTTGTGGGCATCCGGGCTGGAGTGGGACAGGGCCTCCTGGACCACATCCTCTTCCCACATGGGCCTTGGGGCCTGCCTCTTTTCTTCCCGCAGAACAGTGCCGTTCGGGGGTGGACTCAGCCTGGCCCTGGCTAACACTCTGTCTGTGGGCCCCGGGGTGGCCGATAAGGGCACCTTGGTCTCCTTAGCTCGCTTCCCAAGCTATGCTCATCAGTGGCCCGACGGCAAGTCCTCCCCCGCTCCCCCCAGGGAAAAGAGAAGCCACTGCTAGGATGATAAGGATAAAACATAATTAACATGGCCTAATTAGTGAGCAGGCGGCTGCTGCCTGGGCGCTGCCTGGGCCCTGCCTGCCTGCCCCGCTCCTCTCTCTCCGCCTCATCCCAGCCCCTCGCTTGACAGTTCCTGCAGAGAAGCCGGGATTAGGCTGAAGACACGTCTCACAAACAGGACACAGCACAGCACTAACGCACACCACCACGGGACACAACCCGACCACAGCAGACAGAGAGAGGCCGTACTCGGTCTTTGCTGGTGCAGGCGGAACAGAGCTGTCTGCAGTGGAAGGAGCAAGCTCAGGGGCTTGGCCACTGGCCGCAGCGGCGGGAGCAGGAGAGCCCAGGGCTGCAAAAACATCCTTTGCAAGGTCAATATCTGGGGTCTTGAAGTTCCCTTCGTCCATTTTAAAGTCCTCGCCCTGGGCAGGGTTTGTGGTGCTGACGGAGGCAGCCTCGCTCTTCGGGCTAGGGAGGCCCGTGGCTGCCTCGGTCGGGCTCTTCGCGGCGCCGGGCTGGGTGGGCTCGGGGTCCGGGCCTTTGGTGCTGGGAGCCTCCTGCTTGGCCTGGGGGGCTTCCGAGGCAGGGGCGGCCGCTGCTGCCGTGGCGGGGCCTGGCGCGGGGGCCGGCTTGCTGGCCGGAGGGGCCTTGGAGGCCTCCCCCATGCTGGCGGGGGCGCTCGGGCTGAGCACAGCCCCCTGGTTAGCCAGGACACTAGAAGACAGATTGCTGGCAGCAGGGGCTGAGCTCGGGGTGTCACTCAGGTCAACGAGAGGGGCGACCTTGGGGGCTGAAGCGGGGGGTGGGGAGGAGGTGGCGACGCCGGGCCCCTTGGAAGGGGTGGCCTGGCCGGCGGGCACAGAGTTTGAGTCGGGTGTGGCCGTGGCCGGGGGGGCAATACTGGAGGTCAGGGTGGTGGTCTCACTGGTGGGGCTGTTCTGAGCAGTGGCAAAGGTTTCGGTGACAGTGTCAGAGTTAGCGGTGACGGTGGTGACAGAAGGCAGCATGTCCTCGACAGTGGCTGTGGTGTCGGCAGGCAGCCTGCGGGGAGGACAGGAAGTAGAAGAGAACAGACAGTGAAGCTCAGACGAGACGGAGAAGCAGGGGAAGGGCTGCAGCGGAGGAGGGGGGCGCGGGCAGGGCGGGCAGGGACGCAGAGGCACAGACAGAGGCCCACAGAGAGACGAGGACGGCGGGAGGAAGCACAGGCCCAGGCGGGCAGAAGAGGAGACAGGAGACACGGAGCAGGCGGCAGTCTAAAGGGACCTGCGGGCCCTTCCTCCCCGCCGATGCCCCTCCAGCTGTCTGCGCTAGGCTGCCTTTCCCTACAGCCCTGTCGGGGCCTTCCCGAGCCCCGCCTGCACCCCAACTCAGGAGGGGCAGGCTACAGTCCGGCATCCGCTGCTTGCCGGTGTCCTAGGCCCCCCGAGGAACAGACTCCACAGGCAGTGATGGGCAAAGTCAGGAGGAAGGCAATGAGTGCTCCAAACGGCCCCGAGGAGCCACGTGGGCTCTCCAGCCCGAGATTTCGTGCTGCCATTCAACTCCACTCCCTTCAAACCCAGAGCACTCAGGACAGCCAGCAGTCGTCACAGGCTCAGCTGGGCCTGGTTCCTGACAGAGGGTCCCCCAGGCCTTTGAGAACAGGAGGGTGGGGGAGCTTCACAGCCCCTCACCTTCTCTCACCCTTCTGGGAAGAACGCAGAAAGCCCTAGAGTTCTTGAAAATCCTGAGCAGAACCCGCGGAGCCTCTCAAAGCTCAGCCTCTCTCTGAAGTTTTGCCCCCTTCGGCTGTTTCCAGGATGTGTGTGTGACTCGGGAATGGGGTCTAGAGGTCCCACTCATCCCAGGAGCCCTTTCCGAGCACCGACAGGCCCTTAACAGAACCCAGAATGCCTTCTCTCTAGGGAGAGAAGGGGGGTCAGGCATTTCTGGCCAAGGGCTCCAGAATCTAGCCTGCTTGTTTGGCTGGGAGTGGTGGGTGGGAGGCATGGGAGGTGTGGGTAGGGTGACGAGGTGGGTGTGGGGCTCTGCTGACGAGGTACGGCCCCTCCCCGCCCACGTACTCGGGCTCTGTCAGCGGTGTGGTCTCATTGGGCTCCGTGTGTTTCCCTCCATCGTGGTTTGGGGTCCGCTCCTCCTCAGTCCGCACCTCCACGATGGGCTCCTTGGACTCATCTTTCCTGTGGAGAGAGCGGCTGGTTCAATCCCGGGCTGCTGGGGCGGAGAGGGGGCTCCTGGAGAAGCCAGCTACAGCTCGCGGCACCTGGGCCCGACCCAAAGTAGGCAGGGGTGTGGGGGGTGCAGCTCAAGCCAGGCCCAAGTGCCTGAGCCTCGGTTCCCACTCGTGCTATGTGACCCTGAGCACCTGACTTGCTCACCCTTGCTTCCATCTCCTCATCTGTAAAATGGGGTAAATAAGTCTCTGCCTTGCTGAGCTGTTTCACGTTACCTGAGATGATGAGTGTACGTGCTCAGCACAGAGAAGTGCTCAGGTACTCCGTCTTTCCGTCCAGAGCCCGACACATGGTGCGGCTAACAGCTCACCCCTCGCTCTGCCCTTCTTGCCTGGAGTCTGTGAAGGCTCCTGCTAACTGGCTCAGGATCTGTTTCTCCAGAGATGCTGGAGGGGACAGCATCTGGAGCTTCAGCTCCGAAAGGACAGGGAGTTTTACCTGCTCTGTGCGTGGGTGTAACGTCGGGCCGGGAGTAGTGCTTTGCTCCATAGTAGCTGCTCCATAAATATTTCCTGGGAGATGTATGAGTGAATGAATGAATGGGTGAGTGAATACATGAATGAATGACAGCAAGGCAAGTAGGTCTCTCAAATGCTATGGCAGGTTCCCTCCGGTTCAGCTCTGAAAATTCCCCTCATTTTCATTTATGCAGGGATTTTCAAGCTTCTCTGAAATTCTGATATGTTAGATGTGAGGTTGGGCCCAAGCGCTGGCTTTGCAAACACGTACCCCCAAAGGCTGTGCTCTGAGAAACATTTCTCCAATGAGATGGCTCCGTTGCTGGCCCCCCGCCCTCCCCAGCCCGGGGCAGAGCCCAGACCCCAGCAGTGGCAAGTGGGGCTGTACTCACGAGAAGGCGGCTTTGCCCTCCTCCATGTCCTTGCCCTTGGCTCCGGGCCCGGCCTTCCCACACAGGTTGACGGCGATGCACATGAGCAGGCCACATTTGTTCAGGAAGTAGCAGGTGATGTCCACCACCACCAGGAGCAGGACGAAGATGACAATGAGGATGCCCACGATGGCCCCGGTGCTCAGGCCTGACGTAGGGCTGCCGTTGGCTTGAGTGGGAAGGAGGGAGAGAGATGGCCGGCAGTTACTACACTGCCTTGCAGACTCCTGCGCCCTGTGCAGAGCGACAGCCCCTGGGGCGGGGGAGAGCCTACAGGACACAGTCATGGCATTTGTGTCAAGAGGGTCACCTTCCGTGGGGCCTCTCTATACCCCGGTGTTGAGACGGCAGAGTCTCTTTGTATCTTTGAGGGGCGGACGGCAGCCGTATCTCACAGACCAGCGGACAAGGGCATGAGGCACCCACAAGTCAGGATGCAGGTGGGGACTGGGAGCTGTGTCTCCATCCTGGTGCTCAGCCTCTGAGCCTCCCCCCGACCCATCCTTAGCTGATCTCCCCGTGAGCCCGGCAGCAGGCAGGCAGGAGATGGTCACTGGTTTCGGGCTGGACTGTGGCTCCTGGGAGTGGTCAGGGGCAGGGTCCCAACTGGGCAGCAGGGGGTTCCCAGGGCTTCCTGTGGGCTTGTGCTGACATCAGGCACAATGGTATGCCCAGAATGCTACCCCACTTCCTCTCCTCTTTAGGACCAGCTCCAGAGGATCCCAACACTGGACGATGGACATGGTTTATCCGTCATTGCACCCAGGGAGCTGAATGAAGCCCATTTACTCTGGAGACATGGAGGTCTGCCCAGCCCCGGTACGCAAGGTGAAAAATTTGGGTATACTCACCATCTGGGAGCTCAGGCACACTTGGACCAGACTTCAGGAAACCCAGCAGACTCACCCAGAGATGCAGGTCCACACGGACAGGCACACTCACACTCAGGGCAAATACCCTCCGTGCCCACGACAGACAGACCCACATTCTCACATCCGAGCAGTACCCAGCAGTACCCAGCACTCCCGTTCTGGCTGGGCTCACTCTGAATGACTCGGCCTCTGTGTCCTTCTCCCCTATTGTCCATCTACAGACCCCCTGGGCCCCGGGGGATTGATGGTCTCACAGAAGGGCCCAGGCTCAGCTCCCTAGGCCCCCTTGTGATAGCTGTGAGTTGGCTGAGGTGGCCCCCTGACTGGTGAGTCCCTCCAGTGTCTGGGAGACACGTGGTTATGCTCTGGGAAGCCAGGAGCCAGCAGGGCTCTGCCCACAAGTCAGTGTGGAGACCATGACCTCAGGCTGAAACATGAGCACGTCTGCTTCATTTTTCTTCTGGAAGGGTGGAGTACCAGACTGGCAGCCCCACCCCACCCCTGGACCTTGTCTGAGGCTTCCTGTGCCGGTGGGACCCGCTGGGATCACCCCGGTCCACCCACTAGAGGCAGTCACTGTGGCCAACACTATGTGGTCTCACTGGGCCTTTGCTGTGCACCAGGCCAGGCCCGCTGGGCTGCCAGCCATGTATCACACCACATAACAGAGGAACGGGTAGTCCAAGGTGACAGGTGCTACAGACGGGCCACGTTCTTCTTTTACACGCAGTCTGTGTTCCTGAGGGCACTCGTCTGTCTGCCCAGGGGTTCCTGCTCAGGCTCCATGGGGCTTCTTCAGCAGTGATCCTACCCCGCTGGTCTTTGTTTCAAAGTTTAATTCAGGGTACGAACCACCAGCCCAGCACGCCAGAGATGACTGCTTGCTCACAGCTTAATTCGTAGTACCCGTGGCACAGATGGGCCTTAGTTGGAGAAGATTCTCAAATTCTCGAATATTTGTGGCTTCTTTGGGACCTTGGTCTTGCTTCCCAGCCTCTTCTCCTTAGGCTCGCTGGCCGGTCCCATCCAACCCACACTGAAAACCCTAGGCTATGCCCAGGAAGGCATCAAGATGGACCAAGGGCTCTGAACCCAGAGGACCCAGCTCTGGCCACGCCATCTCCGGACTTCGGCGGCAGGAAACGGCCGGCCGGCCCCCGAGGTCCGCTAGAGCGGGTCTTTTCCCTAGCAGCTCACGGAAGCAGAATAAAGCATCCATTCTTCTCTTGCAGGTCCTTACACATTCCACCCCAATAAGCACAGAGGCATGCAAGCCTTCCTGATCTTCAGAGTCCCAGAGCTGCTTCCCCGAGCAGGGAGGGGATAGCAGCCTTGGGCTTTCTCTCGAGCCCGAGACACTGGGCCGGAAGCCGCTGCTGACGTCAGTGCTCCGCAGGTGCTGAGTGCCTGCTTCCCCAAGAAGGAGCCAGAAGTATTTGCGTGAGGGGACAGTGTTTGTGTTTTCGGGCTCAGTGGTACAAACTGTACCTTCTGAGTATACACATAAATACGGTTTTAGGGGACAAATGCTCTCTCTAAAGAGGATGACAAACCACCGCCAAGTGGCTCCGCGTGTGTGAGGCGGCGGTTGTCCAGCTTATGCTCTGGGCTCATCAGCCCCAGCCAGAGGGCTGCCTTGGTCTGAAGGCCAGCACCACGCGCACGCACCGGGGAAGGGCCAGAAGGGTACAAAGACCCCTGTGACGTGAGACAGAAAGGGAAGTGGTCTTCCCTTCTAGCAGAGACAAAATTCAGACTCTTCCTCTTGGCCTGAAGGCCCTACACGGGCTGTAGACAGTCCCACTCTTGTGGGACTCATGGCACTGGCCCTCCACCCCCCCATCCTCGTGCTCGGGCCAGAGCCTTCACGCCACCTACTGAGCACACCCAGCCCATTCCTGCCTCAGGCCCTTGCTGACCCCTTGCCTTCAACACTCCAGCCCCCTAACTTCCTGGGTGGCTCTTTGCCATCCCACAGGCCTCGGCTCAAAGGTCACTTTGTCATAGAGCCCTCTCCCTCCATCCCCCCCGATCTTTTATCTAGTGAGGCACCTCTGCCCACTATCTACCACATTACCTGCTTTCTTCTCTTTTTACCTCTAGCTGACATTTTCTCTTCATTTACATGCTTTTTATTTGGCTGTCCCTTCTGGAAGGTTCTACCAGGTACTCTGTCTTATGTCTCCCCAGCATCTAGGACAACCTGACTGATAGGAAATGTTCAAAGAGTATTTGTCAAAAAAAAAAAAAATGGGTGGGTGTTGAGTCTGGAGATGAGAAGGCCACCTCCAGAGATTTACAGGTGGGCTGTGAAATGGAAGAAGTAGTCTTGTTCGGTATCACTGCTGGATGGAAACTGGATGGAAACTATAGGATCCGGGGTAGATTTCCGCTCCCCTCGAGAAAGAACTAACAGAGGGTGAGCTGCTTTGGCAGGCAAGCCCCCTGTGGCTGGAGGCAGTCGAGCAGAGGCCGGACGACCCCTTGACAGTGGTTCCGTAATGCTCTGGAAGAGGTCCCTGTGCGGGGCAGGGCCTGGGGTGACGGCATCTCCACGCCCCCCTCAACCACAAGAGCCCACCGTCCCACGTCACCGTCCAGCAGCACCCCGTGCAAGGTACTTTTTCTTGGAAGCCTACAACACTCAGTAGGCCCTGTTTTTATTCACTGATTCTTGTGATTTTATTTTTATGTGGAAAATAAACACCTTTTAGCATAATGTCTGTCCACCTGCAGCACAATTCCTGGGGTGCTGTAAATTTAGACTCTGGGGCTCCCCAATTCTACGGAATCAGAATCTCTGGGGGTGAAGCTCAGGGATCAGGATTTGGAGGAACAGCCCGGGTGATCCTCATACACAGCGGAGTTGGGGGAGTGCCGTTTCCAGGTCCCCTCGAGCCTGCCCTACAATGAGTAACAGCTGCTCTATGACTCGCCGCCCGAGGAGGGGGTGTGCGGTCTCACCGCGTGGCCTTGACCTAGCATACCGAACGGATGGAGAGCGCGCAGACTGCCCCTGAAGGAGAAAGGGCCACCCAGTTCACCACTAAGAGTCTCGACTTCCAGAGGGAGTAAGGCGCTCCTCAAGCTAGAGTGTGCATAGCTTCTACAAAACAAAAACAAAAACAAAAACCAAACCTAAACAAAAAAACTGAAAATAAGGGAAACACCAGGAAATGGAGGAAAGTATATTGAAGTCAAGCCAACACCCACTAGCCCTCGCGGATGATACAGGGCTGTAGCCCAGGAAAGCCAGAAGGACAAAGGGTGTCCCCCGTACCTCAGGTAACAGTTTATAAAAGGGAAACATAACCTTCCAGGGGTCTATCTTTGCCTGACCTTGCCACTGGCCTGGTCCCATCCCAGCCACAGACCCACACGCAAAGAGAGTTTCTTGGGAGCAGCGCCTCCATAACCTCCAGGGTCAGAGCGGTCCCAACGGTGATGCTGCGAATGTGGGGCTGTCCATCTTCTGTGGTTCCCGGCATGGGAAGGGTTGACCCTGAACAGGGACCCGGCTGCCCCAAGATGGGGACCTACATACACCTTTCTTAAATGCCTCAAAATGAGAATCCGGGTTTCACATTTTACAGACACTAGACGGGCCTGAGTCACTGTGTCACCATCTCTTCGTGCAGCAGAGCGACCCCTTCCACCAAGCTGGGGCTCTGGTTCACTCATAACCCCATACCTGTCTGCTCGCTCCTTCCCAGAAGCCGCTGTTAAACAGACAGCTGGTCTCAAGGGCTTCCAGGAAGTGTCCTACTGTGATTATAAACAGAATAGGATTTGCCAGCAAGAGCCTTCTCTCACATTCCATCACAAGGCCACTCTGCGAAGCCTCTGTTATGGGGTTCTAATGGGAGCAGGGAAATCAGGAGCCCTAGCTACAGCGTTGTACGTCTGGTGGCCCACAGTGCGCCTCTGACCCCAAAGTGACCACCTCCTGGGTCTGCAAAGGGACTGTCCCCTCCCCCTGCCTGCTGGGGACCAGAAGCGTCCAAGGAGGCAATGACCCACAAGAGTTCTCAGGGCAGCTAAGCAAAGCGCATAGCTCCTCATCTGGAAAGGAAAGCATTTCCTTTGCTAGAACTCCAAGCAGCAGGCTACAAGTTTGGGGTGCAATTTGGAGTAATCAGAGTTGTTCAGGTACACGTGAGGTGGAAGGAAAGGGCTTTTGACATTTTGTAGGACACACAACTATTCAATAAAATCAAAACACGCTGGTGAGTTCACGTGGACTGTTATTTCCTTTAATAACGCAAAGGTGTAAACTTCATCAAGGCCTCGCTGATTA